GCTAGGAAGGAACAGCTCCCGCACCAAGGGGCGTAGAGGGGGAATTCAGGTGTACAAGCTAAGGCTTCAAATTCAAAGTGACATTGCTGGGCTGGGGAGTTACAGATGCTCCTAGTTTTCAATGATTTCGTGTCGTCTTGAAGAAGGAGAATATTGGAATTATTGGAGTAGAGAGAATGCAGTCTGTTAGGTTTGGTTTAAGCAGGTAAAAGTGAAGGTGTAGCTGATGAAAGCAGCAACTTGGGAAGAGCAGGAGCAGAATGGGCCTAGTAGTAGCTGTGAACAGTTGTAAGTATTCGTAGTTCTTGCAGATAAATGGGTGTGTTACAGATGTGGTGGAAACAGAGGCAAAAGTTTTAATCTTTTCCCCAAATAATAGATTTAAAAAAAAACTAATTAAAAATTAGAAAAGGCATTCTCAGTTTTCCGGCGTGCTAATTTTTTGGCATTTGGGCTTGAAACAGCTTCACTTCATCTTATTTGTGTATTGCCATTTATAACCATTCAAAGCCTTTCTCTAAGGGCTCTTTGCCAGCTCTTAGGTCTGGGAGCGTGGGGTGCATCACCTGTGTGCTCCTCTTCTGCTCCCGAACCATTAATGCCCCTTCCTGTAATAACTGGAAATAACCAAGTCCTCAAATGAAAAACATATCCTTCTGAAACACCGTGTTTTTTTCAGTAAAGGGAGGAAATAAAAAGTGGCCTCTGATGTTGATTCTTTTTTTCCCTAAGCTCTTGGATGTGACTTTTATTGTATCTATAAAGGAATCATCTACAGATGTTTAAGGCACACTCGTGCAGGGGCTTGTGTGGGGAATTTTTTTGGCTTGCATTCTTTGTTACACAAAGAATTAGTTAGATCTTTTGGCATAGTAAGTGGTCCCATAATGCCAAGTAAAAGAGACTAAGCTTAGCTAGATTTTCTGGGGAAAAAATAAGTATGATATTTTTAGTGTTACTTATTTCCACAATATTTTTTCCCAAACAGGTAATTGCAGAAAACTACAGATTCCCACTGCAGGCATTAAGTCTAGGAAGCTTTCCCAGCTGCTCCATCCAATAGAGCCAGCTGGAAATCTTGGAGCAGAGCAGCCCACTTGGTCTGGAGCTTCCACTGGATTCCAGTTAAGCAGCAGGCTGGGATAATCACCTGTAAAAAAACATTTAGGAGTCTGTTAATGCTCTTGTCCTTGGGGAGTGGAAGTCCCTAGGGTGCATGAAGCAGTTTCTCATCACACTCTGCAACTCTTCTGAGGAAGTTACACCTTAAACTGATCTATTAATTTTCACAAGTGCCACTAGTCCTAATGCTGCGTGATTGAGCAAAGAACTGGATGGCATTAATATTAATCTCCTCTGTGCTTTATGGAAGAGGTGTTTTTCCTGGTAGCTTTTTCTTACAATGTTGAGTGTCAGTCGTCTTGGTGTCTTCTCAGACAACGATGCCTTCCTCTCCTTGGTCGTTTTTAGATGCCTTTCTAAAGGAGACCAGAACTGTGCACGTTACCCAGAATATGGGCATAGGAAGCTTTACAGAGCAGAAAGTGGTTCCTTCCTCTCATTCACAGCATCCTTTCCGATGACAACCAGCATTTTGGGGGATCCCGGGCTACCTCTGCACGTTACTTGAAGTTCTCGGAGAACTGTAAACGTAGAGCAAGTCCATGGCAGCCAACGTGCAGCCAACGTACTGCGACGGATGTAGCTGGATGGAGCTGGACTTTGATCCCTCTGTGTTTCTGTTACTATTCTTTAATATGCATCAGTAATGTTTTCTTGCTGCTGGCCAGATTATGGTTTTATATGCTCACCAAAATAGGCTATTTCCTCTAAAGCTTCTCGATTCTCTTGGAGATGATGCCAAATGCTTACTGTGCATCTAAGCAGAAAAATAACGAAGTGACAACTGAAATGAATGTTAGTTGGGTTCTGAAGGGCCAGTTGTAATTTCTAATTGCTGGCTGTCAAGTGTCTAGTGACTTTAAACTTTTTATTTTCCCATTTTTCCCCCTTTAATTCAATTGCAAGGTCAAAAACAACTGGGCAGCACAGTTTGAACTTGCTTAAAAATAGGAGCGTATCAGGAATTTGCTCGGAAGCCTAAATTGGAGAGGAGCTTTAAGAATGTTTGCAATGTCTCTGACACTATGGGATCTTAGTCTTCCAGAAAAAAAAAAACGTTTAGCTTTTGTTTTGTCCTGCCATTGCAGGCAAGTAAGTTGGTCTTGAATGGGTTTGGTAGACTAAGATTTTTGAACTTACATTTTTTAATTGAACTAAAATTTTTGAATCCATGAAATTGGCCAATTTTATTCAGCTTCTGTGTTGTCTGCACCAACCCATGATTCTCCTGCGATCCGTAACTCAGGTTAGAGAGAATCAATGTTTTCTGTAATTACTAAAACAAGCAATGTCCTTCATTTTCAAAGCCAAACAACATGTGGCTTCCTTAAAGAAATGCATTGACGTCTAGCGTGTAACCATGTCAGAGAAAATTCCTCAAGCAAAGATAAGCAGTTGTGCACAAATACAGCATGTTCACCTGCAGGAACTCCTAATAAAGGAAGATTTGCTAGTGAACAAATAATTTTACTGTATTAATCTGTCATAGAATGAACCCAGACTTTACTGTGTCTCACAAGTACTGCAGATTTAATACCGTCATGTTAACTCTGTGCTTAAATTTGCTTTGTAACACATCTTCAGACGTTATTTTGGAAGTGTTTGCGTGACCTCTGCCAACACAGTGTGGAGCATTTCAGTAGCACTGTGTGCAATCACAGCCTGCTTGTTTGAGCCAGTGCTGCTTATATCCCAGGTGAGAAAGAGAAACTGGGGCAGAAGGACACAGATCTGTCTCCTCAGCCTATTCTCTTGAAATGCAGAGCTCTTTACATTAGCTTAAGCAGAACCTAGGGCTGCAGTCAGCACTGGGTAATTCATGCTGTAGTCTCCAGGTAGCAGTTTGCAGTGTGGGAGAGCTCTAAGGGATAAGTCGGAAGTCTGCGGTCCAGCAGAGGCTTTAATGCAGATCTCTTAGTGCCTGGCATGTTTTCTAAGTGCTGTGCCACTGCTCTCGCTTTACGGACCCTCCTTGCATGGTATTAAGCTTCTTACCATGTAAGTACATAATAAGAAAAATACCCCTTTTTATGGGAGCCTGAATTAAGGCACAACTTAGACTTTTGGAGGCGTAAAAAGCCATAATGACAGTAGAAAGCAATCTCACTTCTGTAGCTACCATGGAACATGGCACTTAAAATATTAAGCTAAGTTTTATGCCCCAGGGGAAGATGCAGGACCAGCCTCAGAGGCCTGGTCTTGCTACCATGTCTTCTTCATGCAAGAAGACAAGCCCTGTAAAACATGTAGTATTTGGGAGAGGGGAGGCCAAAGTGAGGAGCCTGTGCTGATAGTCTAATGCACAGCAGAAGAGCGAGGATCCCTTCTCATCTCCATGTGGTATCTGCTGAGGCCTCCTGCCACTGCTATACGGGAGTGAAAGGGAGTGTGAAAATTGCCTAACGTAACACAGAGCTAGGGAGTAATCAGTGTTGGCCTCCATCTCTTGAGATCATCTGTTCCCACCCCACTGCTCAAGCAGGTCACCCAGGACATGCAACACGTGGCTGCTTCGTCCTGGTCGGGGTGTCTTGTGACTTCAGCTCCTCAGTCCTCCTTCGCAGTTGAGTAGGACAAGTGTCCTCCCATGTTGCCATGTTCCATATGGCAGGACAGATTTCCCTGCTCACTTGAGCGTTCTTAGCTGTTCTTTTTAGGATCACGATCCTCTGAGAAATGGCGCTTTTTTTTTTTGTTTTGTTTTGAAGCTGGGGCCCTTGAGTAGGTGGCACAGCCTGCTGTTTCCCTTGGAAGGGAGGAATAGCTGTGAACTGGAAATTTCAGTTACGTGTCTCTTGCCTTTCTTGTGTGCAAATGTGAGGTTTTCGTTTATTTGAGTTCGTTTGCACTTGAGTTCTTGCTTCTTTCCCTGTAGTACTTCAGAATTCAATAAACTCTATAAAAATAGCAGCCTTCCTTGATGCCCTGCTGATTGTCAAAGCAGATAATCTTAGCTAAAACCATAAGAAAACACATATTTGGCCTTTGGTGATTTAATTTTCACTGATGTGCAAGTAATTGTATCTTTCCGATCATTATTGTAGATGACAAGTCACAGTCACTCCAAGGAAACGTGACATTTTCTTGCTTCCTTGACTTCTGGAGATGCTGGTTTTAGCTTCACTGGAGTGTGTTGCTTTAACAAGTCCAGAATGAAGGCCAAGGCAAGGGGGGCTGAAGGGAGAGGGAGCAGGAAAGAGGAACTTGGCCTTGATCCGTAGGTAAATCTGAGAAATCTGCAGTAGTTGCAGGAAGCTGTTCTTGATTTGCTGAATTTTCAACTATGCCTTGTTGAAATCTCCAACCCTATCGATTCAAAACAAAAACACCCTATACCACTTGCATTAGATCTCCTTACTTGGAGCATAAGAAAAGAAGTGTGAGGGGGCACATGCTGATGCTTCCCTGTCCTGGAGGCATTTTGGAAAGCAAATTGAGTGTTGGAAGGAACAAGCAGGTTTTTATTGCATTTTTTGTGTACCTTTATTATTCCTGGTGAGTGGTAGCAACTACAGAGCTTCTAGTAGTCACAATGGTCTCTCAGTCTGAAATATTAGGAATTTTAAAGAAGAAATTCTGAATCAATGGGTTTGTTTCAGGTGTTACATTAGCCCATATTGAAAGGTGTCTGGAAAAAGAGTAGCTAATTGATAACTTGTCATAAATCTGTGGTGTAGTAAAAGATCTCTGAAATATTTGAATAACCAAAAATTCATTAAAAAGCTGATTTTGGGGCTGCTTTTTCCACGTGTGTTGTTCTCTACTAACTAATAAGCAGACACATTTGCTAGAAATAACCTTCCCTCAGTGAAGATCAAAAACAGTGACTTGTGGACAACTCGACAATACTCCAATTTTCGTAATTCTTTTGTCCTCAGGACCCTCTCAACGAGCGACGATGTTGAGGACCGCGAGACGGAGAAGGGCCGCCTGGAAGAAGCTTACGAGAAGTGCGACCGGGACCTGGACGAGCTCATCGTGCAGCACTACACCGAGCTCACCACCGCCATCCGCACCTACCAGAGCATCACAGAGCGCATCACCAACTCGCGCAACAAGATCAAGCAGGTACCCCCTGACCTTGGCTCCCTGGGCAGCTGGGGGCTCTCATCCTCCCTTGGCAGCTTGGGGGCTCCTCACCCTTCCAGCCTCGTAGGGTGAGCAGGTACCAAACTGCACAGTTCTTGCTGCTTTTCCATGTTTATTTTTCTTCTACTGGTAGTATGATGATGTGATTTCCCATTTTAAGCTGTCTTTCTCTCTTCGTTTTCCCACTGCTTGTAATCAACGTGAACTGAACTAAAAATTGAATTGAGCAAACGCTCTTGGCCACCAGATATGAAACAGAGCTGCTTTTTGCCTCTGTCTGTGAGGTGGCTACAAGTAGGCCATGTGGTCCTAAAACAGTGGCCCCAGGCTGTGTCTCATTTTTTTTTTTATAGGGTCTCTCTGCTGTTTGAGAACGCAGTTAATAAGTAAGATGAGAGTTGGATACAAAGAGCAAAGCTTTATCTTTCCTTCTGTTTGTTTATTTTCTGGGCACATTGCTGTTGGGTTTCTGAAGTCTAGGGGCTGCTAACCTAACACCTGTGAATTTAATCTGCTGAGGTCTTTACACAGTGGCCTCCAGCTAACTCCTAAATTCATAGTTGAGTGACTCATCAGCCTGAGTTTTATTTTTCCACAGAGAACATGAATTTCAGTGCCATTTCCATGTGCAGCCCTGTTGCGAGTCTGCGTGAACTCTGTGCCCCTGGGTCTTGGTGCGTTCTGAGTGCTCGCACTTGAGGCCTGTGCCAATAAATAACTCGGGCCCTCTTTGTTGTGGTCCTGCTCCATCTGCTTGCTCTCCGCAGCTCTGAGAACAGCAGCAATAAATGAATCTTTTGTCTCCTGTTTATCATTTGCTTCATCTGTGGCTTGGTGTACCTAAACTTTGCAAACGGGGTACAAAAAAATAAAAATATATTTTTGTTTTTCCTGGCTCTGTGCATTAGGAGCAATAGGCTGCCACTGCTCTGCGGTGGTACTGACCCTGCTGGCTTTTGAAATTCATTTAGCAATTTCAAAAGGGAGTGAGAGCATTCTGATGCTTACCCAGGGTAAGAGTTCCTTTTAGGATTTATGTACAAAGCTCAGCTCTTTGAAAGCAAAGATCAATTGCACTAAATTTGAAGTAAACTAGCCTGTAACCTGTTTTCATCCTATATACTAAGCTTTGCAGACGTCAACATCAACATGCACAGACCTTTGGCCTCGCCTGTGCATGTTGGTTTTGACCTCTGCAAAGCTTAGTGAAGACCTCTTGGTCTCACCTAGGAGAATGACTGTAAGGGTGAAGGACCTTTTGATATTTAAATTTTCTTATTAGATTTGATCCACCTACATGGAAGTAACTTTGACCTAATGTCACGGGAGGCACCAGGTGTGGCTTGTCACCAATCTGTATTACAGTATCGAGTCCCTTTTGATGTTCCCATGTTGCAGGCGTTGGATGATCACATAGGCATCAACCTGGATTAGAAATCACTTGCAGATGTGGTAGATAGTTCAGATTCCTTCATGGATCTGCCTTTTCCTTGCATTCAGTTCTTCTATGAATTCTTGTGGGGAAAGCTTTGCTGAGGCCCTGCAAAACTTTAATATTAAGGAAAAGCAACCAGACCTGCCAAGTTCTATATATTTACAATTCAGTCCTTGCCCCAACTCCCTAATGCTGATATAGTTGATCTGATCACAAAGTCAGAAGTAATGGTGTGAGGCTCCTTCTGGCTCTGTGATTGTGTGGGATTTTTTGCTTGTTCTGCTTGAAACAAAAATACTTCAGGCAATGTTAGTGTCTCTAACCTGAAGAAAAATACTGTTTATTTATTCAATTATCAACAGGTAGAAATGAAAAAATACTGCATGAGTCAAAACAAACCTTTGGGTCACCCCTCTGTTTTGTGGCAGGGGATCCTTTCATTTTTCTGCAGGGATGGCCTTGAATGTCTTGCAGAACAGATTTTGCACTGTGCAAGAGCAGTCCAGTGGTGATGATGTGTGCCGAGTCAATGAAATATTTTAAGACAGAGCTTAAGATAGAGCTTTTAAGAATAGAGCTTAAGTCTGAAATGCGCTCTGTGATTTTTTTAGTTTGCTTCTGCTTTTGTAGCAAGTTCTGCCACTCTCACATTGGCTCTTCTCTTGCCTGGGAACTTGCCAAATTTCATGGTTTCTTTTGGGAAAGGCATTGCAGAACATCATGTTGTTAAACTGTAATCTTGGTCACTTGCAACTCATGATGGAGTCTGGCTTATGTGGCTGGTTTTAATCAGCAGTTACCTGTGTTTTGGTCCGTCTGTGTTTCGGCACTTTGCAAAATGCCTTTAGATGAACAAGGTGGGAGAACATGCAGCCAGAGAAGGGTTTTTGAAGCATTTTAAAGGCTCAATATTCAAAACTAAATTGAAGGGTCTACTTTGAGTCTCTCTTCATGTGTAATTCAGTGAGAGTTCAGCCTGACAGAAGGTTAGACCCTAAGTATTCCTGGCTTATCATGGAAACAAGAGCCATGTGAAAGCAATGTGTGAAGCTGTGTTATTTGCTTCCATATTTTAATTCGTGATTTGCATTATGCAAGAAAAGCTAGGTTGTACTGACCATCTTGTAGGACCTTTGGAGATATTGAGGGCAGACAACGAAGATCTGGTCTGAGAGAATGGCAAAGCAAAGCCCTCGATGCTTTTCCTTAGGGTGGGATGGACAGTAGGGACTCTGCCTCTGTTGCTGAGATGACCTATATTGTAACTGCTGTTTGTTTTGGTGAATCCTGGTTTCATGCCAACAAAACTGGCATTGTCTGAGCTACTAAGAAAATGGTTACACTGTTGGGTAGTCAGGTTTTGTTAAAATGAACATAAAACTTGGAGAAAGGACTAGGAGACACAGCCCAGTTTGGAACAGGCAGATGGAAAACCTTTACACAAGGGAAGATAGCAATGGCTTATTTGTTTTTGCTGAACGAGATCGTTGTGGATACCTAAATACTGAGTTGACAGCTGGAAAAGCTGCAGATAAGTCTTTGGTCATGTTAGTAGGAACATACATTTTTTCATATTGTGATACTTCAGTTCAATTTTCACTGGCAGTAAAAAGTTGAGCTAAAATGCATTCCCTTTCAAAAGCCATTCCTCCTTGTATGCACTGTACGACTGCCCCTATATCAAGGAATAGCCAGTCAGTGCATGTGAATTTGATTATTGCCTTGTACTGGTTTTATAATTCCTTAAATTGAGTGTTGGAGTGGACTTGCTTGTTCTAGATTCCAGTACAAGGAACAGATTACTTTGTTCTTCTGATGTGCCCCTCGTAGGTGAAGGAGAATCTGCTCTCATGCAAGATGCTGCTGCACTGCAAGCGGGACGAGCTGCGCAAGCTGTGGATCGAAGGCATCGAGCACAAGCACGTCCTGAATCTGCTGGACGAGATAGAAAACATCAAGCAGGTGCCCCAGAAGCTGGAGCAGTGCATGGCCAGCAAGCACTACCTCAATGCAACGGACATGCTGGTAAGATGGGCTACCTTGTGCTAGGCACCTGCTCACCAGAAACACGCTCCTTATCTCTCTGGTCATTCACATGTGTTGCTTGTGACGTTTAGTCGTTTACTTTTTTTCCTTGGATTTTCTTCTATGTCTTGTTCTATCACTCGTTGCTTTCCTGTCCTGGAATTTCCATTTATGCCTTTGCTTTAACTTGCTCCTTTCTGCAATGAATTTGGAGTCACTCTCTTACAAACAAGAAATAATTGAATGGAGTATCTTCTTCTTTCCAAATGATCCTCGCTTGTTTGCTTTGTCCTGATCCTGATTCTTTCCATAACTAGATGGTTCTCCACCCATCTGACCTGTGCATAGGATTTTTTCCTGCTTTTGCAACCTGGTGTTTTGTTCTCTTCTGACTTTCTCTGATCTCTCTACCCCTTTTAAAACATCCTCTTGAGTGCGTTTTTATGCTCCATCACCTAAACTTACTGTCCTTTATTTAAAATGACTTTCCAGGACACCTGCTTTTATCATCATCTTTCTCCATATCTTAGTAATTGCCTCAAAACTAACCCACTTTCTGGAAGAACTATCCCATTTTTTTCCTATTTCATCTCCCAAAAATATCTTCACAACTTTGGTCAGCTATTCAGAGATCATTTTTTCCCATTTTCCACCATTCAGGTACATTCACCTCCTTTTGCTCTGTTTATCAGACTTCTTGATCCTTTCTTGATATCTCCAGCTCGTTCTCTCATCTTACTCCGCCTCTTCAAGGGATTTCTCTTGTTCTTGTCATTTCCATTCCTTTCACTGCATACCTTTCAATTTCAGTCTTGTGTTGAAGGAAGAAGTTTCCTAAAACTCCTAAATTGTCCTTTTCTTTCTTCTGTTCTCTCTAAACTTGCTAAACATGTTCCCTTGCCAGGCTTTGGATTTTTCTTTCTAAAAACTGCCTTATACCAGTAACTAAAGTCTTTTGAAGTCAAAGTTAGGGAAAAAGGGATATGTTTCATATTCTGTATTTTTTTTCCAGATAATCCCCTTAAAGGAAATCTTTTCATTGCCATTTATTTACTTTTATTGTGGTCATCTTTACTGTCCTTTGTATTTCTATGCCTGTTTGCTTCTTTTTAACAAGTCGTTATTGAGCAGCATCAAGAGCTGGTAATCCTGGTGTTGTCATTCCTAGGGTAAAAAAATCTCCCTTAATTCCCTTCTTTCTGGCTTCACTCATTTTACCTTAAATGTGACTTTCTAAAACCTGATTTTTCCAAATATTCTTTGAAACGTCTTCAACAGTTAATATCCATTTTCATGATGGCTTAAGTAACTGCATGTGGATTTTTTTGTTGTTGGTGTAATCTCTTGCCTGACTTCAGCCATTCTTCACCTTCCTGTTCTCTTCTGTTGTTCATCTGCTTTTATTTTTCATGCCACATCTAGTGCAATCATATTTCTCTACTTTAGTCACAATATTCCCTTTCTTCCTTTCTAAAATCATCTTCCAGGAACCCTCTCAATCTTATTCTTAAGTTCTCCCTTTCCTTCGAATTATTGTCTTGCATCTTTCCCACTTAATTGTAAGGATTAACAGCAATCACAATCCATGTATAATCCAACTGGTGCTGCCTTTTCCTAATCAAGAGCACGTGCTAAAAAGCTAATTTGTCCTTCTCTAAAGAATAGTTTTAGAAGGCCAAGTGCTCAGATTTGGCAGCATTTTTTTGGGGGGGGAAATAGGTCATAATGAAAAATCTAGAGAAATAATTCATTTTATGTCCAGATTATAGAATATTGCTGTTAAATGTCAAGTGTAGCAGTAACTTAGTTGCATTTGGAGCTTTTTAATGGTCAAGATTTGCTGTGGGCTCATGGGCTTTTGCCATCTTCTGCTAGCACTGCCTTGGCAATGCTGCATTGCTGTAATCACTCACTCGCTGCCGGATAATTCCCCTCTCCTTCTCTCTGCTCTGAACATTGTGTAAAATAATTCTTAAACTGTCAGGGCTGCAGGGTGTTTATAGCTCTCTTTGTCCTTTTGTTTCCTTCCTCAAGGTAAACAGCTGCTCGTGGCTTAGAAAAAGCCCGAAGTGATCTGACAAGGAGCTTGTCTCCCTTGCGTTGAAATTGGAGCGCTGATTAATAACGTTGCCTGTAGCTCTGTGATACGTACAGGCAAAATTAGACCTTTGCAGTCGTCGTGTTGGGTTGATGCAAGCCCACTAATGGCGTAATTTCTGGTTGCTGCATCGCCTTTCTGCAGCCTGTTCTTTGTATTCCACTCACATTAATTGAAGTAATTTTGCCACTGAAGCGTGTTTCAAACCTCTGCATTTAAATTGAAATTTTAATTCCCTTATTGTTTGGAGAAGACAGCTGAAGATGGCTTGTTACAGGTTTCATTATCACTCAAAACACTCCAGCTGCTGGTTCTAATGTGCAATGACTGGGTAATGCTGCAAAGAATTATTAATATAAGAATGGCAGCTTTTCCCAGTGCTCTGAACAAGATGCAGAGGTATTTTGTGACAGCTTCTATTTGTATGAAGTTTAAAAAAAAAAAGCCTTTTTTTTATTATTATTTATTTTATTTCTGATTCAGTATGCACCAGGAGTAACACAAATGTGCTTTGAATATCATCTGTCCAAGTCCTGGCATCTTTATAGTATGCATTGCCACTAAGTAGGGCCAATAGGATCAGTGTTGCTATAATTGCAGCTTATGGAGCCTGTGATTAAAAGAATGTAGTTCAAATCTTATTTGAAATGTGAATCCTCAGAGAAGTGACGAGGATCCAGAACATATCCAGCCCCTGTTAAGGCCAAATAATTCTCCATGAATTTCAACTTTGAAATCAAGGGTTGGACTAACTTTCATTGAGGCTGGAGGAGAACGTGCTGCAGGAAGAAGGTGCATGGGGCCAGAAGGGGTCCCCCATGGAGAAGACAGATAGGTAATGGCCGTACTCCCCCAAAAGCACGTCTTGAAGTCAGTTCCAAGTCTTCTCATTTCAGCAGACATCTGGAAAAATCATTATTGCAGTTTCGTGTCCGATTTCCGCCACTATTGGGTTGCGTTTTGAGGGGCAGTACCCTGGAACAAGCAGTAAGTCAATTAACTCCACTAGTGTAGAGGTCTGTGGTGTTGATCTAGCTGTTCGGGCTCTGCTGTTGACCCACGAGGTACCCATAGGGAGGAATTAATATTTTCCATTTGTTTAAATAAACTAAGAGATTAAATGCTAAAAACAGTGGAAGGAAGAAGCGTTGTTTAATCAAGTAATTAAAGGTCATGTCATAATACAACTACACGAAAATTGCTTAGGCTACTTTCTTTGCATTTCCTGGCTTTTAAGTGTCTAGTTCTGCAATTTTAATGAACTGGTATTACTCTGGCAAAATATACAGAGGCTTTTTCTTATTCCTTTTTAAATCTTTTAAATCTAAGAGACTGTGAAGGAAATTCCAATGAGGATGGGACTTGTTACATCAGGTAACAAAACAGAGCAAAGCTGCAGCAGGGTATCAGTAAGGAGTGAGGATGACTTCCATAGCCAGTTACTTTTTGTTGTTGTTTTTTGTTTTTTGTTTTTGTTAGAAGGAGAGTATGAAGTAAAAAATCACTAGTATAGACCCCTCTATGTCGTGTTCACTTTAGCTTAACATCACATTTAGTCGTGTTACAGAGTGAGGGACTGGTTTGCATCTCTTTCTCATGGGTGCATCCTTCTGCTTTAGCCTGTGCATGTCTTTGGCCTAAGAAATAGTTGAAATGGCAGAAATTTGTTTCTCACAAAAGTTGGCCAAGAAACCCTCCAACACCCACCTTTCTTTATGGTTTTTTTTCCCCAATGTTAAGGACTTCTCTTTTCAGAACATGCCACTTCTCCCTTTCTGCTCCCTAATAGAGAATCATAGCATTGGACTTGGATTCAGAGAAGCAGGTTAGAGGGTTGAGAAGTTTCCCCAGGAGCAAAAATCACCGTGCAGGTACCCATGCACATGTGTCTGCCTTCTCCTTTCCCATTCCACCACCTAGCCCTTCAACTCAGTAACATTCCCCACCTTTCTATGTGTTTTATGCTAAGCTTCTACAAGCGATTAACACTTTTCCAGGTAACACTGCATATTTATTAACCTGGACGTGGTTATTGAGACAAATTTGGTTTTCTTTATGGGAGATTGTGACCTGTTGCTTTCCTCAGTGTGGTATTCAAAGAGTCTTTCAATTCAAAAATACCATGTAGTGTATTTCTTGCAGGATAAGTAGTCTGGAATATGACATTTAAAATAAAATCACCACCCAATTCTCAGTACACATTTTATTTACTGTTGCCTTTCTGCTTGAACAGTGAAAATCAATAAGAACAAACTTGCCTTTTGTTTTTGCACTTCCTGCAGTAGTGGGAGGCAGGTACTGCTTCAGACGGGCACATCTTGGAATTAATGTCTTAAGTGAAAATAGGAGATTCTTGCCTGGCTTGGGATTCTGCAGATATGGTTTAAAATAAAAATTAAATTTTGGCCTTACTTTAACATCTATTTCTTTTGCATTACAAAAACAGTAGTATTTTTCCCTGAAGTCTTTCTTCAGAGAACCCAGCATCAGCTCAGTTGATTAATGTCAACTTTTGCCTCAGAGAAGCATTGGAAAACTTGAAGAATTGATTTTGGTGGGTGATTACAGCTCCTTGCATGAAAAGCATTGGCGCTTTGTATTGCTAGAACATTTTTCACCTAATTTGTCTTTTATTTTCCTTAATTCTTTTCTGATCTTTCTTTTTGAGTAAACTTACCGGGCTGGGTTTAAAACCATTCAAAAGTGGAGAATTTCTTCCCGTTTTTAAACATCTTCGCTCTTTTCTCCCTTAATAGAGTTATCAATAACTCTGTCTCATTCTTTTTTTAGTGTAATTTCCATTATCCAAGGCAGCACATTGCATTAAACTGCTAGTGCCTGATACTGCCTCATTTGCATTGCCACGTGCTTGACCCCAGCCCCTCCGCTCTTAGTTAATGCA